GAGGGCCAAACTTTGAATAGGCTATTCTAAACACGCGCTGGGGAGTCGTGTAGGCCTGTCAACCCCCTTTTTACATTGAACTGTTAGATCCTTAAGTTTCACGCGATCGACTTTACTTTCCTTTAGTATCTTCGCCTGAAGCCACTTCCCATCATCTATACTTGAATCAACTACATAATGTTTTCCCGACTTGAGGCAGTCACGAACACGTGCGATGAGGTCTGCTCATTTTCCGCTCAATTTCAAGCCTCTACACTTTAACCAACGCTTCAATGGTGTGTTTGTATGGTTCTCTTGATCTTGCTCGAACTTTGAGCCAGGAACACCGTCGTTTTGATTTAAAATACGAGCTTTAGAGGCGTTTGAACTAGAGATGGGCGCATCATCGCCCATATTCATTTATTCGAGAAGCCTGTTTGTTTGTCCTAATCGCTCAAGGGGGTTCAAAATTTCGTGACGTCACAAACGCGCAGCGCCATTGCTATGCTTAAATGAAGTGTTGAGTCTAGCTGCTAGTTTTGTAAGCGAAACAAAAAATAATTTCAATAATGTTTTTAACGTGGGTCGCTTGAGTTTTTTCGATTGGCTGTAGTTTTTGCAGAAATTAAAGCCAAATGTTCACCTTCAGGAGTTATTTTACTTGCCGTTATGATTTATCATTTCTGTTCTTCCTGGTGACTGCAAAAGCAGGAGATTTTCTTTCTCACAGCATTTTTGTAACTTTCAGTTGTTTGCTGAAGAAGTGATAGGTTATTGTGTCATAATTTTCTCTCATATTTTGATCTTGTTTCATTTTAGGGAGGAATCTGATGAATTTGTGGAGATTGGAGCGCTCAATGGATTGTTTGTTTTAGGAAGATCGATTGGATTCATTGGTAAGTAATTTTCTTTCTGTACAATAAAAAAGATTGCGATGCATCAAAATTCATAGGGAAAGGAGTGGGCGAAATGGCAAGAAGGGAATGGATCGATAGACTTGTCTGAGGGCTGTCTGGAAGTTTCGCCCCGTTTCAAGTCCGTCCCCTACTATTTCGCCCCATCTCGACGCGCTTGCCTCATCAAAAATTAATAATTTTTGGATGTGTTTGTAGGTCATTATTTGGATCAGAAACGCCTAAAGATGGGTCTGTATAGACATCCTTGGGACGACATCACGTACATCATGCCTGATCATCTCACAGACCTTCGCCCAGCAAGTTTTGAATAAGTACGTGACAATCACGTTGTGGAAGTGTTTGGAATTACAAATTTTGGTTTTCCTCCTTGAACTCAATCGAGCGGAACAGTTAACAGAAGAATTTTTGGAAGAGAGAAATTTGTGTCGTGTGTTGAGGCCGTAATTTAATTCAGGGATAGTTATTGCCCTTTTTTAGGTAATTCCCGTGTTGGTATTTTTGACTGCCAAGCGTTTTCCGTAAACTTATTTTGTACCTGTCACGTTCGTGTGGATTGCGTGCAGGCCAAAGAACGTAAACGCTAGAGGGCTCTTGCTCTCTATAAAACCAGGAATATTTTGGACAATACTATGGAAGCAATGTTGTAATTTTAATTTTCATCTAATTTATTCATTTAGATTTGAAATTCATGCAGAGCGATATGCCTTAAAGAAAGTGTAATTTCAAAATTGTTACGAACTTTTTGGTCGATCTGGGGAGCAGTCCATAGTCGAGCTGCTAAGAGAGTGTTAATATGACTCTGGGAGGGGCCTAAAACATATTTAAGCCTAAAAATATAAACTTAAGTACTATAATCATCACTTTGGAGGTCACTGGGAAAGTGAAAACTGAAACAGCAAATAAAGGAAAACCGAACATTCACGCAAGCGTGCGAGAATGTTAGAGACATTTTTAACCCACAAAATCTCCATTTTAGCTCACAAAATGCGCCACATTGCCCCACAAATTGATAAAAATGTCTTTTTTCAAGGAAGAGTGCACATGAACTCTCGCTTTATCTGGCTAAAAATAAGAACACGTAGAAGTATGCGTCCTGTGGGTTGAAACGAATTTAAGTTGTCTTTGTGAGAGAGCTCCCAGCACGATGAACGTTCTGTTCTATACTCGCGTTTAATTGCCTGTCTGAGGATCCTCTTCCTCTGGCGTCATGAAGTTATTCTTAGTTACTTTTCCCGTAGGACATTTGAAATGTATCCAATTTTTACTTAAATTATTCTTCGAGGCTGATTAATTGATCGTCATTTTTGGTTGTTCAAAGTACCCAACGAGAAATGATTTGAAAGATTAAGGGTTTCTGCCTGTGCCAAATTAACCGCAATCACTCTAGCGGAAAAATAATTAATGCCTGGTCACAATTTACGTCAACAAAAGAAAGCCAGTTTGGAAAAAATGTCTCAATGAATGACTGGCGCTTGTCTAAATGCTCGAGTGAATAAGGCGACATTGAGGCAAGAACCCTTGAGAAGCGCAACTGGAGCACATGGCTAAAAGGGTTTAGGGAACTCGTTTGCAACACTTCTAGTAGTTCCTACACTCTGCGCCTCTATTAGACTGCGGCTAAGCTTTGGGATTAAAATTAAACACTGCAGAGACACGGAGGAACGAAAAAGTTCCGGTATGGTGAAAAATAATTGAATCAAATCAAAAGTTAGGTTAAGGCTCTTGCAAATCTACGAATACAGCCGACTCTTTTAGCCTCTAAGCTGCTATCCTGACACACGCTAGGCTGAAAAACAAGATAAACCCAACACTAAAAGTAGGGCAATTGCATTTCTTTCACACTGTCCAAAGGCAAATTCTAACTTTTATTAGCTCTCGTCAATTTGCTTGAGTTTCTAAGTCGGTTAGATTTGATTGTACCGGTATGTGTCTGCTTACACCTGAAAAACGCTGGAGAAAAATGGCTTGTGTTGGGTGATTACATAAAGAATATTGGTTTTACGATTTCCATAAATGAAGTGTCCTCTGCAGATGTCTTTCATTCACGCTCTTTTTCAAGCTGAGTGCAGGAACCAAACTGGGATCAACCTGTTTCTACTGGTTCCTCTTCAATCAGTTACAAGTGGGAAGGTGGTTAGTAGGTGAATTGGCTCACTGATCGGTAGTTTTGGCCTTTAAAAAGTCCTTGAATGTATGCCGATTTTTTTGCCAAAACAAAAAATTGAATTTCCTTCTTTGGGAGCGAAAGTTGTATAAATTAAGGATGGAATGTGAGGATATACGTAGGTCCCGTCCACACGAAGACGATTGTAAACGCAAACGCTAGTAAACGCATATTTTTATCTCCGTCCACACGAAAACGATCATCGTTTACGTAGCGTTTTCACCCGTCCACACGAAAACGCTCATAAACGCATTAAATGATTTCATACATCGAACGCGCATCTTTGCTTCAGCGCCTTGTTATCAAGTGTTAATGCCCATGTTGTAAAGTCACCACGTGCATTTGTTGTGATCGAGAGAGAAGAAAAATGTTGACCTGGTCTGGTCCAGAATCTTCTCTCTTTGCTCTCACGTCTGCATCTAAGTCGTTTTACTCGAGTAAAACTGCTTGTAGTTGTGGATATCAATCTTGAGAGCTTTAGTCTTCTTTTGTAGTTTTCCTGTATATTGATTATTGCATGATTCAATTGAATGCTTGCAATTATGCTTGAAATAAGTGCAAGCATGACACAGCTCAACACTTGTGTGTACGCCATATTGGAAACACACTCGTTAAAAGAGACTGGTGCTGACATCTGACGTCAGCGTTTTCACAGCGTTTACATGAAGACGCATAAACGGCGTTTTCAAATTTATCTACTTTGGAGAGCGTTTTCGAATTTATGCAATTACAGTGAGCGTTTTCATTGTCTTCGTGTGGACGGAAAGCCTAAACGCATAAAAAAGTTTGCGTTTACTATCGTATATACGTTTATCATGAAATTTATTATTCAAATGAAGTTTTAGTAAATCTTAACATTAATAGNTGAAAAACCCATTAAGATCATTTCATGGCCCATGAATACTGCAAAATGAAAATTCATGGGGTTATTTTAAGCCCTGAATTTTCCATGAATGGGGGGAATTTTTTTCATGACCCATGAATTTTCTTTTAAGCCTACTTTCATGACCCATGAATTTCCCTTGAAAGTCACCAGAATGAATTTCATGACCCATTAATTTCTTTAAAAGCTTACTTCATGACCCATGAATTTCTTTAAAGTCTACTTTCACGAGCCATTAATTTCCCCTGAAAGTCACCTAAATAAATTCCATGACCCATTAATTTCTTTAAAAGCCTACTTTCATGACCCATTAATTTCCCTGGAAAGTCACCTAAATGAATTCCATGACCCATGAATTTCTTTTAAGTCTACTTTCATGACCCATGAATTTCCCCTGAAAGTCACCAGAATGATTATTCCATGACCCATGAATTTCTTTAAAGGGCTACTTTCGAGACCCATGAATTTCTTTTAAGTCTACTTTCATGACTTAATTATGAGTTTCCTCAGAAAGTAACCAGAATCAATTTCATGCCCCATGAATGGCAATCAAATAATTCCAAGAAATCCTCAATATCTTGAATGTAAAGTTTTTAAGACAAGGAGTCATTTTAGAGGCTTAAGACTTTGGTTCACTAAAAGGTATGCTATACGAAATGTACCAAGAGATATACATAGTCATACACTGTACATGTATATATATGTTTATCGTGAAATTAAATATTACTCAAATGAAGTTTTGGTAAATCTTAACTTTAATAGGCATTTTTCCATAAGGTAGCAGTCAATTATGTTAATTGCAAATTGACACTCCTAGATTTGATTTCTAACCTCAAAGGCCTCTTGGATTCCATAATCATAAAAGTTTTTATTGTGATGCAAAAAGTCTCATGTTGACAGATGTGCCAAAATCGGAGAACATAAATATAATCATAAACATGGGAACACTTCGGAATGTGCAGAATGGTGATCATCTGAGTATAATTGTCTTATATTTCCCAAGGTGGTATCCATCTGTTTTAATAGTGAGGGTAAAACACATTTGAAGTCACATTCAAAGTTGTGATTGGTGCACACATGGCTTGTGTTATCTCTTTCCTTTGCCGTGAACACAACTCGAGTCAGGGTTTCAAGTATTTTTTAATTTCCTCTGCAACTTTTGGCCACAAATCGTTCATTTGTTGTACATTCGATTCTACATACTCACCCCAGTCCCACTAATTTCTTTCTCAGAGTCAGTGTACTGTTATCACACATTTTCAAGCATGAGTGTTAGTGTCCAAGCAATACACTGTAGTTCGTATTTTTTTAAATTTTTTAGTTTTATAGTTTTTTTAATTTTTATTAATTTTTTTTTAATTTTTTTGGTGTTAGTAATATTTAGTTTATAATTTTTTTCAGTTTCAATTTTTCTGCTATTTGACTTTTTTGTTTTGTAGTTTTTAATTTTTTTTTCAGTGCCTGTTTCGAGGGGGGGTGGTAATTAGTGATATTATTGTTAAATTATCTGATTATCTTGTCTCTAAAACCTGTAAATGACCTTGACAGCTAAGTGTTTTGTAACTAGAATTATTAAAAAAAATTGATTGTGCTTTTCAGGTGCTAGCTGATAACAAAACAGGATGTTTCTGATAAATACTCACTGGATAACTTGAGATCAACAGTGGAGGAGTTCATCTCTATGAACTGTATTCCCATTATAAATGAGAATGATGTGGTAGCATCATCTCCAGGCATGGATCTAGATTTGGCTGGGGTGAGTACAATCAAATCCATTTTACAGTTTATGGTTTGAATCTACAATTGGCAACAAAATTGTTGACACATTGATCTTTTCAACCCCTAATTGCTTCAATTTTATTTTCTCTTTCTTTCAATTTTATCTCTTTTCCCCTCGCTACTAACAGTTATATCAGCACTCAGAAGTTTGACAGCCAATAAGTCATTTAGACGTTCTTCTGACAAGGTAGAGCGGATGTCACTTTTCAGGATTTTAAGTTGGCTGAACCCTCTTTCAACTTCTGCACTGGAAGCTGGAAGTGCAAGCACAAGATCGATGACTGCCAGAATATTTTGGTGGTTATCAGAATACTTCCTGTTGATGACAGACCAGGTGAGCTTTGGTATGTGTGCAGCCTCACTGTGGAGGAATAAAGAGATTGTTTTAGTCATCCGCCATATTTGACGTACATTTCCAATTAACAGTAAAATGCTTAAACCAGCAAGTAAATTTCTAATTACACTTGCAATTATGTATGAAACTTACTGCTCATCATAAATAGCAGCTTTCAGTGACGTCCATTCACTTTCTACGTTCTCCAGTACAACGTCAGATGATTGTAGAACATCTCCATAGTGCGCCAAGATGACTTGAAGTTCTTGGTCTCCAAAGTCTGAAATGTAATATAATTGTAATTTAATTAAATGTATATAAATGTATAAGTAGCTGACAGATTAAGGAAGCCACAAAATGACAAAACAAAGAGGAATTAAAAGTGTCACAGTACTCTCTATTTCAGCTGTCTTAGCACTGGGCCAGCTGGAGATCTTAGCTATGTGAGTAGCCTGGAAAATGCCCCGTGTTGTGTCAGAAAACTTCTTCTCCAGAGAAGAGATGAGGTCGGTAATAAGTTGACTACGTGCTGCTTTAAAAGCCACATCTGTTCCTTTCAGTGGATGTTCACAGAAGGCGTCCTTGTCATTCACCTTACGCAAATGGGCCCCATCACTATAATCAAAGATAAAGCCTTAGGATTATTTTTGTTAATTGTTGCATGCAATTGCTGTAAGACTGCTAAGCTGTGAAAAGGAATAAGAATCCTACTTGTTTAGAATTGGTTGGGTAAGTACTGTACAACGAGAAAGAAAAAAATACTTGCATGGATTTAATTTTCTTGAGTACAGCAAGAGTG